ACCAACTAGCAGTGCAGATCCAAGCTCTGTGCYTTATTGATGGCAGTCTGCTGTGACTGGCCTTGCAGAAATTGAGACAGCAATCAATCAATCAACCAACTTGTAAAGCAAATAATCAAAATAGAATCAGACAACTCTTGATAAAAGAAAGAGCTGACGTACCTTGGTTGTGGAGGATTTTTCCACAGTAGGAGCATTCACAACCTTTCTTGCCTAGTGGTGAAGTTGCACTCATTCGTTTTGGTGTTGGACCTGAAATATACAATGAACTGTTTTCTCAACAACAATCGCAACAGAAAAAGACTCTCTTACAATGACAGCAACAAACATTGCAACTGCCTCCAAGAACCATCAGAAGCAGCAAAGATAACGAGGCCTTTATTGATATATACTTACCATCAATCCCATTCTGTTGCGTCCCAGATTCATAACTTCTCTTACGTGCCATCATGTGATTGCTTGTCTGTGTAACGGTCTTRGCAGGAGGAATAGCGGAGTACTTCCACATGTTAGAAACAGGCGTTGATGGCTGACCAGACAGGTAGTTCTTGACAGGCATCATCTTACGTGCAGGTGATGTAACAGTCAATCCTGGTGATGTAGGTGGAGAGCCCTTGTCTTGTCCAGTCCCTAATGGCAGAAGGGTCGGTTTGGGYGGCTTGGCTGGTTTTTGTGGATGAGCCTTGATGAACTCAACAGCTTTTTCCAGGACACGTTTTTTCATCTTGCGTTCACCTTTCAGTATAGCTGTCTGTTTTGGATCAGTAATTCTCTTYAAACCTGAAGTAAAACAGCTGGTAGTCATTTTGTTCTTCAATATGTTCATGACATAACCACTAAACAGGAGTTGCAATTTCATCAAATGCTCRTAAACACTCGAAATSATTCTAGGTTAGAGGGCACYCAAGGTGTTTTTCAAACTAAAATTCATTTTTACTTACATTGCCCTTTGATTTGWGGAATGTCCATAGGTGCTCCCGGCACACGGCATGCATGCGTTAGATTGATCAGGTCACTGCAGAGACGTCGTGAGATTCTTGTCAACATTGTTGATTTCATGTAGAATGGTGACCGTGGTTTGAGTTTCCTTGGGCTTGGTGGTCGGTAACCATGGCCACCAGTCAGGTGACGCTGCAATGTAGCCTTGCTATTAAATAACTAAAAATAAAAGCATTTAAATACCACTTAGTATAATAATACTCCTTTTCCACACTAAAAAGATTTGTTGCTTACCTTATCACATCCTCTGACAACGCACTTGTATGATTTATGAGTCATCATGTGACTTGACAGTCGCTCTAAAAACAAATATTTATAGTTTGAACAAATTGTATATTCATTGGCAAGATGTCTATAATGTAGGTGGTTAAAATATCTCATTCAATGAAGATAACATTATTACCTGCTCTGTTAAAGACTTTGCCGCATAACCGACATGTGTATCTTGGCTCAAGATTGTCTTGACCACGCCCTGAAAAACCATCTGRAACAAACACATTGATATTAATAATTAATATCATCACTGTCATCACTATCATTAACACAATCACCACTATCATCATCATCATCATCATCATCATCATCATCATAAACCTTTTCTTAACCATCATCAATGCATCATAATTACTATAATCAACATAATACTATTAACTACCACTATAATACAACCATCTTAACTAAACAAACAAAACAATCATTATCACATCACAAACATAATACCATCCATTTACCTGGTCTTTTYAATCCTCCATACTTTTTCCAGTAAATCCAGCACAAAGTACAAAGCCAGAGCTTGTGAGGCGAATTGTTTGGACTCCATGGATACCATTGCTGSGATGTTGTWCCAAAACAACCTTCACAAGTTGCTCCAACAAGGTTATTAGTTACACCAGGKGGAGGTGTTAGAATAATGGTTGATGTCTGTTTTCTACCAGGTTGMGCTGGATTACTAGGAGCTCTGATAACATCATAAATAACAATCAAAAAAGATTTCAATACAGAGTGCAATATCTATTTTTTCAAACTTACAGGCCAGGTATATAGATTTGCGTCAAGTTGCATTCCTTGGATACTGCCTTTAAACGCTTCTGCAGACACAATACAAATCATATTAGAATCAGAGTGAAAAAAACTGAAAAAAAAGTGAAGCTTTATTACATTAAGAGAAAAATACATTTATCAACTAACTTGTTGTAGATATCTGTCAGTTGTCTTCCACATATAATAGTACTCCACTAAACATGATAAATTCTTCCATGGGAGCTAAAGTATGCCAACAAATTACATAAATATTAACAACAAATAACAAAGGCAAAATAGTCATTATGTAACAAAGGTTATTAACCTGTTATRGTATAAAGTACTTACAAAGTCTTTGTGTATATCTGTGAAGTCTTTGCCATATTTCTGCAAAGCTTCTTCAAATAAGTTTGCTTCACCTGCAAATTAAATCAGTAATTTACCTTCATGAAAAAGAATCATATATGACCAAACTAATACATGGATTGCTGAATTGAATGGTAAAATAATTATAATAATTAAAAAATTTAAATAAATGATAAATAATTGATAATACATAGCTGATTGAATGCATGAATGAATTAAATAAATGAATAAAAAATTCATGAGCAAATGAGAAATCCCACCTGCTGACCATTCCTCCATCTCGTCTCTGCATAATACGGGACCACCGGATGGTACGAGTTGTGAAAGAGCTTTGCTTAAGCCATACAAGTTGTTATGMAGYGTTGTCATGGCATGAAACTATRRAAACAAAAAAATAACAGTTAAATATGTCCAACTGATATTTAATGAACTGATATTTAAGGATTAATAACAATTAAGGAGCAAGGCAGACAAGGAAAAAATACTCAACAAATTTTCAATCAGATTTTAATCTACAAAAAATTACCAGTGTAACATCTCTTGATGCTGCAGCAGCACTCATGTGTARACTYGGTTGTTTTACAGAACTACTGCAATCCAATGCTCTTGCAAATGTACCAACAGACCTACAGTTACAGCCATATATCAGCAAAGTAATCAATAATAAACATTTGATCAACTAACTATTGATTGTTAAACTATGCATATTGATGAAGTAAGTCTCCTTTTTGAAGTAGGATATTTTTACCTTGCTATGACAAGAAACTGGTCAATTTCTCTGTCGCTTAAGCTATTTTCTGGAGTCCAGACAAGTGTTTCCATATCAGAAAGATTTCTGTCATCAGTTTTTGCTAAAATGAAAAATAGCTTGAAGTTTATTTCCATTTAAAGTAAGATGTAAAACATTCACTGCCAACAAATCAGGCAGACACCACACTACACATACACTGCAAACATCTAAAACAYGACACATACAGCATGTTTGATTTTACTTACGGTCAATTATTGTTTTAGGGACATTAGCCTGGTAGCTAGAACCAATACCCATCTCTCCTCTGTCAGCAACAAGAGTTTTCTGTTGAGGATCATACACCAAGAAATAACAAAACCAATCCTGAAAAACAAACCACATTTTAATTCATAAAACAACAGTGAAACCTTTGTAGCAAGTGAAAATAATATGCATTCAAACTCAAGCCATGGTTTACTGCCTAATAAACATGCACTAGTATAGAAATATTTGGAAAGCAAGACTGTTTGATAATTTCACTAAGCTCAAAGAATGACATGTATACAAACAAAGCAGAGAGTTAATTAACACTTTTAACAAACACTTTGGCAAAACTATTCATTTACTTATTCTATATTGAAATTATGTCTAGTTGAGTTGAATATTAATTACTATTATCGTCATTATGARTAGGCAGCAGGATACCTCTATGTGATTACCAGACTATTGTTTTATTAAAATTCTATGTACTAGACAGAACATGAGACCAAACAGGTGTTTTATTTCATGTTTTTCTGATTGTGGTATTCATATCCCTAAAGGTCTTATGGATATTTCCATCTATTTTCAATTCATCTATCAAATCTTTTCAGTTCAACTTTAGAAATTCTACCTTAATTACTTGTCAGGAAGCAAAATAATTTATAAGTAGGGAAATAAAATCTGAAAATTATCTTAAATCTTCCCCAATATTAGAAAAGAATTGCAACTCATAAGACTAGATGTTATATAAGAAACTTTAATTGATCACATTATGGTAAATCAGACAAACTCCAACATTAGAGGATTGCATAATTTTACCATTTGGTTTTAYTGCAAAATTCTATTCTTATTTGGTTATTACCCAATTTGGAATCAATATCATTACATGTTTAATAGATAATACTGCACTGAAAAAAGTTAATATAATTGCAGGATATCAAKATTAGAATATATGCATATGAACCTATATAATTTGTAATACTTAATTCAATAAATTTTGTATGTTTTTACACCAAGTTTGGACAATAAATACAACAATTTTTGTTCCATTTTTTCAGTCTCTTAACCTGTAAAATTCTAACATTTTTAATAATAAAACATTACTTAATACTCTTGGGATGGCAGCAAATGGTATATGTAAAACTGCGCCAATGTTTACCACAAGATTCATCCCTTCCTCATGAAAACATATAGCAACAAKCAATKTTATCACAGGAAACCACACCAAAACTTCAATAACTGGACCAAACTAAAACAARTGGYMACAGCCCTACTCTTCCTTRTTATTCTATTTTCAAGTTACATGTTATCATAACAAGAACTTCCTTTACCACACCTTACAGATCATGAGAAGTCAAAACGTTTGTGGACTTACATTTTATGTGTTTTTGATTATGTTCACAATACTGTACATGCATCTTTCAAATTTACTTCTAATACATATTTCCTGCAAATACAGATCAGAAAATTGCTTACTTACCTCTTTTTCTAAGTACTTGGGGAATTCCTCAGCTTCATTATACAAAGTCACTAGGCATTTACCTCTGTCAAAGAAAACAAATACTTGAATTAGTCACCACCTTTTTACCTTAAGATCATTAATGGCTAAYAAATACTACAAATACTTTCAATTTCAACTAAAAATATGAAATAGGAAAGATTTATCAAGATTTTCTGAACAAGTTATAAACTGAATCAATATGAATYTATACTTCACTTTCCCTCAGCATTTTCAAGTGAACAGATGAATGAATGACCCGTCACAATACTATAAACAGCCAATCAAAATCAACTGCTAACAATGAGCTATACTATAAAAAAACTCTATGTCTACAATACTAAGCTTTCTATTGATTAGGAATACATTATCAAAGTATTACCTTATTGTGTTGGCATTAATATTTTCATATTGTCTTGTCAAGAATACTTCACGATGACCTAACTGGTGACGTAAAACATCTTCAAGTTCTTTATCACCCATCTCTACTTCAGCATCTTCTTCAGCTTGCACTGGATGAAATCACCATATTAAACACATAAATAATGGAATAAACTATGGTGTTTTTATTAGTATTTTTATCAACTGTATTATTTAAGGTTTCAGGTACACAGTAATGAATGATAGTTTCTATATAGGATTTGTTGAATTATATGGCTAATTGAATCACACTAATTCACTCATAACCAATTTTGATTGATAAATTCATCAATTTGCAATCTGATCAACACTTTGTGCCATTTAGTGTATAGTGCTTCAAAAAATGAAATCACCAATTTTAATCTATCTTGCCGTCTATATTTGAATATTGTTCTTATATTTTGTCATTTATACCTTGGGATGAATTGTAATTATCAATGCATCTATTACAAAGCTTCCCAAGTTCAAATATGAACTTAAAATGCATTTATTCTTGTAATTTCTTCTCTTTATTATTGCCTCTTTATACTATATCAGGCTTGTACATAATCTATTATCTTAAATTGAAGAATTTTGTGAATGTAATACATACAAAGTACTTAATGAATAATAATTTAATTTATGCTGTTTTTGACAGGGTCAACGTKGAAAAAAATCAAACTCAATAAAAATATTAATATTCCCATTATAATRATTGATATACCTAGTGCTTTTTGAAATGAAAGATGATCGATACCTTTATTCGTGATTATGAACATAACTAGTGAATGCCAAAATAATTCTGATTTTTTTTACATTTATTAAGGCRGCAATATTCAAAAATATAATGATTTAATGTGCTTAGAAAGTTATATAGTCTAAAGTCTTTAAGAATCCAAGACAAAAGTKGCAATAAGAAGATGACTTATGCAACAGTAATTTGTATGCATACTCCCTTATATTACTTACATAAATGYTTTTCTGCTTGAAGGCYAAGGGTTGAAGAAAGATCTCTTTTTCTGTAAAACACTTGTACTTTGGCTTCAACTTGCCCATTACTTGTCTGTAAAATAAATCAATTCAATCCTTTTTCAGGAGACTTGAAACACAGAGTTTTTTCAGATTTTTTCATATCAATCATTAGCATCAATTATTAGTTCGTGAGGGTCTCGAGCCTCCTTAAAATTCGATACCTTGGTCAATTCTTCGATTCTTCGTATTTGGTATGGTAAAGAAGGGTTTGTCTCTACAAAAACATAATCTGTGGAGAAAGTAAACCATYTTTAAACGTTTTTCTCCGAAGTAAGGTTTGACAACTAAGTTGTACATAGTATCTACACCACATGCTTTTCTACAACACGCACACAACACCGGCCACACAGCGAACGTCAAACTCGCATTATTCATTATCATAATATCGAGATGTTTTGAAAATTTCTCCGAGAAAAACTTTCTTCATGAGTGTTGTAATAGTACAATATATTAAAAGGCTCAGAGACGGAGTAGTATCAATGAAACACTGACATCGCAGCTTCGGACAGAGCCTCGATTCAAAAGAGAGTCCGCTTTTGTTGGAGTTTTCCCAGCACAAAGTACGAAATAATAACGCAATCATACACGTGCTTTGCCGGCAAAATATCCATCAAAACTAACACAAAAATACTAAAAGAAAAGATCTAAATAGTACAAGAAACAGCTAAGTAAAGGAAAGTATATAGTTTGCCTTTCAGGCGGGAAGTTCGATATTTGGTGTAAAAACGCTCGCGAAACTAACGCATTCTCCCTCGCTCTTACCTCCGACCCGGAAAACGTTGGCTGGATTCGCCATCTTCTAAGAAATGGTGGTCAGCAGTTCCCGAAGAGTTACTGCGATGGATAAAGACAAATTATGAATGATTCTTTAACGACGATCTAGTGATTTATTCTCTGAACTGAACGTCATTTTACTTCGAGGGAAGGAATCATTGTTCTCTCCACGCTTCCCTCCACTTATTACGTCACGATGCACCCCCCTGATCGGCCTTTGACGAATGCCTATTCGACATTATAACTTCAACTGCGCAGACTCGGWAATGATCGGAATGGTCGTACCACGTTCGGATTGCTTTGTGGTAACAATATGATTGACATGTTGTTATTGTTTACCATGGCAGTGGTAATTTGCATGTGAATATTATTTGATTTGTCTTGGAAACAGCCCTCTGTGATTTTGAGAAGACATTAACATTTTCCTGATATCAATCGAAAGTAAAACTTGAACGTACAGAGTACTCATTTAAATGCATGTCCCCTCCTGGATCGCTTTGTTGACAGGTCAAATAATTTCCATTTCGTGGGACTAGGGTTATTGCCAGTTACTCAGTATTTGCTGCTGATTTTCTGGCAACAATCATTCAACTATCATTCGATTCTTTTCCTTACAATGTAATAAAAGAATCAGTAATGATTTCTGATGGCAAATTACCTTGTTTGTAACTTGAGGGGCAGGACAGTTCACAGGGCTTCCATTTCATCAAAATACAAAGACAGACATCTTGACTGATGACGTCACCAATATCACGCAGACTCGTGTCGCTCGAAGAGAAACAGGTTAAACCAGTTTTAATCCGCTAGGCGTGTGTTGGAGGCGTTACTAAAAGTGATTGACATCTGGCCAAACTTTTGTACGTCATATTTTGATGAATTTCGATAATGATTGCATCGCTCAGTCAGAACAGTGATGGAAACCATTGTTGACACTGAATTTCAYTTSAGATTCATCAGTAATATTCAAAACAGGACTTTATGAACAATATCCTAATAGTATTGATTTTTTATGCGCCGGTAAATGAAAACAAATTTGAATATGGTATTACAAACGTAAGTGACTCKAGCAATTTCGTTCGCGAAACAACCAACGGAAATTTTCCGTGAAAAAAATCGACAAATCTCGATGAAAATGATGAGAACTCGCCTGGTGTTTTCAACACAAACACGAAAAAGAGGCTTATTATGATATGTCATTTCTGGAGGAATTAGAATAATATACATTTTGTGGCATTCCGGAAATCTTTCCTAATGACCTTGCAATAGCGACCGGTCAGTTTGTAGGCGAGCCCAGTAGCCATCAGTTCAGGCGGATTAATGAATAACCTTATTATAGAAACATCTATATGTACGGAAGGAGAAAGACACGGTTCATGGTCAGTCGCTATCTCCTCACCTATGTACGCTTGCGTAAATAAATCCATCTCCACTTCATTCTCCCTACTTGAGAATCCTAGAATTAACGCAAGGCGGCGAAAATAAAAGAAATAATAATAAAAAAATAAATACACACTGTAAAACAGCAGAATTTTTATGTACAGACATTCCTGATTTTGAGAATAATAATAAACAATCGGTATGATGATATGGTTCAGTGTGGAGTAATGAATTTGAAATAAAAAATAGAAATAATAATAATGATAAAAAACTAATCAGACTGAAATGCAACCTGACATTTGGWAAGCAGAAATGTAATATTGCAAACGGTTCACTTTTGACCCTGGCGGGCACCTATATACACCGGGCGGCTATTTCTGTCCGTATTACCGAGGTTTTAGACATAGAAATACCTATGATGGTGACTAGGCCTAACCGGCAATGATGCGAAAAGATCAATGACAATTTTTGGTATCAGAGATTTGAGATATTCTTTTAAATGTGTAATGAACACATCGTAAACACCGCCTAATAAATAATGCACAATGCAAATACC